ACAAGTGGAGAATTAATAAAGCTCCAATAATGAAGAATACTAGCTCAAGAAATGGAAAATACAACCGAGAACAAAATACAGAAAACACTAAACACAACCACTAATTAAACTCAAAACACAAAAACAACACAAGCACATTGATGGGTCTCCTCCTAGATCTAGAATAAACCGGTTGGGATGAGCTCCGATTTGCCTGAACCGCCTCTAGATCACCACAAACACCTGCAAGGACTCAACTCCAGAGGGGTTTCCAGGTAGTGCTTAAGTCAGTATCCAAAAAAAAGGACATGTTCTTGTCTAGTAAATCATGGGGGTACATTGAAACCGAGCTACCCGACCTCGAATCATTCTCAAAGAAAGACTATTCGGAGCTTTGTCTACTACTTGATCGTCCACAAAACACAAAAGTGAGAATATAAAGACCTAAACATTCTAATCATTTGGTTTGAGAGGATTTTTAACTAATTTAGACTAAGAAATTTAGAGGCAATGACTCAAGATTACAACTGTAACTAACGATTATAGCTAGATGAAACCGGAGTCTTCAAACTTGAGAAAAACGAAAATAATATGAGAGAAATATGCCAGTACTATGACTCTAGATAGTCAAAACAAGTCTTCTAACCTAAATTATCGAGCTTTCAACAAAGTCCAAACATTCAATTCAAGATAAGCACGCAATTGACTTTTAATTATCTTAGTAAAGCATGGAAAAAAAAAAGATAAAAAATGTACCAAAAACAACTTTGCCCGAAAACTTGCCGGAAAAACTAAAGTCATGAACATACATTATAGTTTAGAGAGAAAAAATAAAAAAACATACACTAAGATCCGAGGAAATATTTCATAATGAGTTTAGAGCATCCACAATGCTTTGGGTTCAGCCACAAAAAATTATATGCTACCTAAGAAATAGAACAAGTTTATAAAAATTAAAAATATATCTTCCAATGCAAATAAAAGCAAACTAGGTTCTGCTGATGTGGCAGCCACAAAAAGAGACTCAGTTTACTCTTAAGTCCGTTTTAGACTCAAGTAGAGACATAGTCTCTTTGCATTAGGGTGAATTTTATTAATTTTACATAGTTTTATTCATGTCATCCAAGACTTGAGTTTATTTACATGTCACATTGACAAGACTAGACTCAATGCATTGAAAATACTCTTAGGAAGCTACAATGCAAATGACCCAAGTATTCGTGTTCGTTTAAATTGGTTGCTAATAATTTATATGTTTAAATTTCATTTTTATCATTTATTTAGATTATATCATATATATTTAAAATTTGTTAACAATAAATAAATTGCAATGACAAGTTTAATAGAATAGACATATTTGTGCAATAAAAATTTGGGCAGTAAAAACATCTCAGACCGAGTAGACATTGTGTAACAAATTTGAGTAGGCTAACAAACTATCAGTTATTTTCGGCATTCAAATCATTCATTTTATAACTAATTTTTGAACAAACTATTGGATGTTGCTTTCATATGTTGATAACAGATTCATATTTATCTTATTAGAAGACTGTGTAACTTATGTTTCCTCTATCAGAAAAAATAACAGAAACAGAGGAGAGTACCTCTGCAGCCATGGCCGACGATAGAATATCCCAACTACCAATACCCATACGTCACCACATTCTCTGTTTCCTCTCTCAGAAAGAAGCTGTGAGAACTTGTCTACTCTCCAAACAATGGCGCCACCTCGGATCAACCCGCCCCAACCTCGAATTCTCCGAAGAATGGTTCGACGAAACACAAGAAGAGGTTGTCTCCGTGAACTCCTCCATAGGATCTACAAGCCCCAGCCTCAACTCTTCCGAAGAATTGATCAACAGTACACAAGAAAAGTTTGTCCCCGTCGACGTCGTTGACCGAACTCTACAACATCGCCGTAATAAAAAAGGCTCCAAACTGCACCGAATTCTCTCTCTCCTCCTATGCAGACCATGGCGCCACTTGTTGTGGTATCATCCCAAGATCAAAAAACATAATTTGAGAGAAAAATAAGTTTCTATTACTCACAAGAATAAAAACAAGAGATTTACAAACTCTAAACAAAAAACTCTCAAACACTCCACAACTCTTTCTTGGTTGTGTTTCAACACTCTCAATGTTGATTGATCACTCTCAAGGATGATATGAATGAATGAAATAACAAGTCTATTTATAGGTATGAAATAGCACACCACCATTGACAAAATGGTGTGAAATGTGAAGGTGTGGTGGAGGTATCATTTGAAGACTTCTTGAATGGTGGGCTTGAATGGAACTTTCACACATAGCTAGCCATTGATTTGAATGGAACTTTCACACATAGCTAGCCATTGATGACTTTGTGTATTGCATGGAACTTTCACCACAAAGGATCAACTCTCCCCAACCTCGACTCTTCTGAAAAATTGTTCAACGCTACACAACAAAACTTTGTCTCCGTCGACTGCTCCATAGGATCAACTCGCCGAAGCCTCGAGTCTTCCGAAAATTTGTGCAACAGTACTACACAACAAAACTTTGTCTCGGTAGTCAATCGAACCCTACAAGGATACCTTGATCAGAACCTCTCCATACACAAACTCCATTTCAACATATCGAGGCCCGACTCACGACCGGTCGTCTCCCTTCTCGACAAATGGATCCCGATAATAGCCCTCGACATAAAAGCATTCAAACTCAACTTTCTTTCATATACTCCGCAGTATTACGACTTGCCCTCGACAGTCTTTGAGTCCCTCGAAGAACTACACCTGCGCAAATGCAGGCTGAGCCCAGCCGAGAGCGTGCGGTTTAAAAATTTGCGCACGCTCACCCTAGAACAGGTCCAAGTTGATGGCGACACTCTCGATACGAATATGTTGGGCTGCCCTTTGCTCAGGCGCCTTGTCCTTTATTGTTGTTGGGAGTTAAGAAACGTTAGGGTGAGCGAGGCGGCTTCGCCTGGGCTCAACCACTTTCAATTGTGTGATCATGAGAGGATCGAAGGGGGTAGCATTGAAATTGATGTCCCGAATCTCAAGAGAGTCTTTATCGCGGGCCCATGGATTTGGTCTCACCGCCAAAGCACATTCTTGTTCTCTCGTCTCACAAGTTTGAGTCTCTTTAATGTGATCTTGTCGAGTGAGTCGTTCGACCTGTTCTCGTCCGGCTGCCCGACTCTTGCGAGCTTGACACTATATAATTGCTTCGGTTTCGAGGAATTCCATCTTGCAAGTGATTCGGTCAAGCTCTTGACCATCTTCACAAGAATAATACCACTTAAAGGAGTTACGATTTGGGCACCGAACATTCTCGATTTTACTTTCACTGCCCGTATTCACCAGGTGCCGGACACATTCTCTTTCACGACCACTACTTCAAAGGAGTGGGACTCAGGAATATTTCTCTCCTCGTATGAGGAAGATCCTGATTTGGACGTCAATTTGTGGTTCCTTGAGGTGAGACGATTGCTCAAGGCACTAAGTGGGTCTCGGATTTCTCTGTATTTGCAGATGGACGGCGGCCCTCAGGACGTGCCCTGTAATGCTGTCCTCGGTGACGAACCGCCTATGGTGGTGCAGTACTTGAAATTTACTACTTGTAAATGTCTTACGGCATCTTGGTACTTGGAGTTTACAAATGGCTTGTTTTGTGTTTGTCGACCGAGTTGCGTATGGGGTGGTAGGCTTGTGAGCGGGTCAGACAGGAACTACAGGCTCTCGGAGTTTCAGTTAAACATGTTGCTTGCATACAAGAACATCAGGACCGAGCCCTACTTTTGGCGGCACGATTTGGAGCAAGTTCACGTGGATGGGCAGCTCGTGCAGTGGACAGGCGAGTCGGAATTGCGAAACAGGACGTATGACGGGAAAATATGGCTTTACTTGAACTGGAGAGGTCAGACAACGCATAAGTACTAGGCTCGCTTGATTTTCTATTTACTACATATCTCTCTTATTTTTAAGCGTTTCGTCGTCATATATATCTCTTATTTTTAAGCTTTTCGTCGTTATCAGGAGCTGGTAAGTCATCTGATATCACATCAGGCTGCAAAAAAAGTATAAACAATGTAACAATAAGAACAAAAATGCCGCACAAATATAAATACTGACAAAAGACGATTTTGTTTGCCTGGTTTTGAAAATCAATTTTGTCGATTGACATATACAAATGGGATGAAATATTTCAATTGATATGCGATCATTTGCAACTAATGAGTTTCACATTCTGTCGTCGTGATTTTTACCCAAAAAAAAAAATAATCCTAATGCCATAACCTTGCATAGCAAGTTAGTCTGAGTGGAATAGTAAGCCATTTGATCAAAGAATTATATATCTTCAGAGATTCTGGCTGAAACAAAGTCAACAGCGTGCTGCTTAACCGTCTGCATAAGCTCATCTCCACCGAGTCTTCATTTGCTTTCGAGAAGATTATGTCGGGCTTCCCTGTGGTCAGCCATGTTTCCTTTTATAAAGTATGAGGGGATGAAAAACGTCAAACTAAGCGAGACGAGATGGGAAAATTCGCCTTAGATTGAAATGGAGATGTTAGAATGTACTCGGTTGCTTTTGGAGTGAAATTCAAATATCCGTTTTTCTTTCCCTCCATTAGCCAAGGTTTTGGTCTTGATATCACTGCTTTGAAACTTTCCAGGTCTTGTGGACTTGAACTGGTAATCTAAGGCTTCTTATTTTGTTATTATTATTATTATTATTTTTTTTTTTTTGGGTTTAATTTTGATTTTTTTTTTTTAATGAATAGAGAGAATAAAAAAGCACATTTCAGGATGTATTTTATTTTATAAAATATAATAACAAAATATATTTCTAGTTTTAAGTTGTTTTATGTTATAAAATTAATATTGCAATTAAGTTAATTATGGTTCTACACTACAGCGGAGGTAAAGGTCGAAGACACGATTCGGCGTGATATATGTCCATAATTAACAAGAAACAAATAATAACATACATATAAATCTAAGGTAGATTTCTGTAAGAAACAATGGTGGTGCAGAAAAATGAGTAGATGTGAGGCATCCTTATGTCCATTTGCATTTTCCAGATTCAATAACTAAGAAGTAATAAAATATATACTACATATTTGCTGTCCAAAAGCAAGTGTAAATGACAGAAAAAAGGCATTGTGCAGAGACAAAATAAGTCCAGCAATTTCAGAAGTTAGCACAGACTTCCAATCACCGGTAATTATATTTTCAGTTTACCATATTTTCGTGACTGAGCTTTCGCATATGATCGTGGGACGACTGATCTATGCAATGTTCTCTCATGCTCAACATGTTCCATAGCAAGCAGAAGAACAAGCAAGCAAAGTATTTTCTACATTAAACACTTCGTGAACAATCGAAATCAATTCAATGTAATGTTTCCTCATGCTCAACATGTTCCATAGCCATTCTGACTCCATTCCATCCATAGACCTGCACACTTACTTCCTCTAAATCCTGCTGCCAAAAGCGGTCCTCCCTTTCTTTCTTCGTGAGGAAGATCTATAAACGATCAATGAGAACGGCATCAGCAGCCCCTTGAGCAGCATACCAATCATCCATGATATCTTCACACTTCAGTCTCTGAAAG